AAAAAACAAAAAACAAAAAAACCAAAAACTAAAAAAGCTGGACATCATCATATGCCTGTTCCCTGCAGACAGATCGGTGACCCTTTTGTTCCTTAAGAATCTTTCTCTTTCAATTTATTTATTTGGCAAATTGCTTAAATACCCGATCTGTGCCGGAACTGTGTTGGTGATAAACACTGTAAATAATAGGGATGACTAGAAGTCTGTCCTGAGCAGTCTTCTAAAGAGAAAGCCTTTTTCTCTGATGTGTCTTAAAATTGTTATTTGATATCCCTGTATCTTCGAAGGTAACACGTTGGATTACTGGTGACTAGTTCTAGGACTCATTCTGTCAGCTAGACTGAGACCCTTGTCAGCTGACAGTGATACTTTTATAGAGAAGTTTTTTAAAAACTGAGCTTTCGCGTAACAATTGGTATATATTCTCACTGGACTGAGTTAATTGAATTAATGGGTGCACCTTGAGACCGTAACACTAAGCGAAACAAATCAGGGAGGGAGGTCAAATATCTCATGTCTTCTCTTATATGAGAAACACAAATCGCGGCTCTAATTTAAAGAGCAAAGTAAAAGGTAGATGGAGGAATCAGGGAGCTAGATCTTTTGCAGATGGGAAGGGGACGTAGGAGGGGATGGGGAGGGGAAGGGAAGGTCAAATAAAAAGGACGAAGATGTGATGTTTATGTACCAACTCCCTATGATGAAGGTATTTGTTGTGTATCCCAAACACGCACCAATAAAAATTCTCCAAAAACTGAATTTCCACTTAGCAGTTGGTCTGTACTCTTACTAAATTGAATTAATTATTAATGCTTAGACTACTGCTTGCATTTGGTTCCAACTAACAGAAATAGGTTGATGCACAGAGCAAAATCCTTTGGAATGCTGAAGTTCCAGAGCAGAGTCTGAAGTTCGGGAATCCTAGTTAGAAGTGGCAACCTTGTTAGGCAGGACCAGGGCGCTCTGCTTGCCTAGAAGATGCTGGAAGGGCCTGAGAAATTGCTGTATGGAAAATTGTGTAGGCAAGAAGCCCCTGGGTGGAAATCATGGCTCTAATATCAGACTAAGATTTGGTTTCTACTCTCTTTCCACCATGAGCTCTCTGTAACATGGCAACCTCAGATGAATTTAAACACAGGCTCCTGAGTGTCTCACGGGTCAAGTTCTGCAGCTCTGAGGTCGCTTTCTGACTCACGCTCAGTGACCTTCTCTGAAGTTTCATGCGCTTGTAACCTGTACTCTTTGTGCTAACTCTTAGTTATATATGTTCTTGTACTTCTTGGAGATTGTTTCTTATATTTTTGGTTGGCGTACATCCAGGTTTTAAGTTCTTGAGGGCAAGGATCAAGACTGTCTCGGTACCTCATGCTAGCTTACGTACTGTGAGGGTCAGCTGGTGATTTAAAATGCATTGACATGGGGCTTTTGCTGCAGCTCAGTGCCCGAGCAGGTGCCCAGCAGTGCAGAGCTGTGTATTTAATCCCTGGCACCAAAACTTACAAATGAACAGAAAAAAATACATTTGAACAGGATATTAAGGCTTTTCTTCTATGAAAAAAAGTATCTATATTGGTCTACAAAGCACGCTATTGAATTTATATTATTTTCTATTAAATTTATTGTAAAGTCACACTGTAGCAAGGCTAACAATGTTGGCATAAATGATACATACCTGCTTAAAAATACTTGAGTGAAATTCTAATCTGGGTTTTGACTATAGTATTCATTATAAAGCCAGCACAATTATTGGGTAGATTTTTAGATCACAGAAAGGGAAAGTCTCTTTATTTTCTCAGTTTATCCAACTTTTTACTGCATTAAGCTGATAAAGGTAAGAGTTTTATCTGGAGAATTTTATCTCCACAAAAATTCAACTTTGTTTATATGTTCTCATTCACCAAACAAAAGCCATAAATGCTATTCACATTTCCCAATTTTTTAGGTGGAGTGGATTCCTCCTTTGTGCCATTGCAATGTTTCTTGTGATATTCCCAATGTTTACTTTTCCAAAAAAGCTTCCACCTCGACACAAGAAAAAGAAAAAGAAAAAATTCTCTGTTGATGCTGTGAGTGATGATGACGTCATGAAGGAGAAGTCAAGCAACAGTGAACAGGTGGACAAAAAAGTTTCTTCAATGGGATTTGGAAAGAATGTCAGAGGTACAGTATATGTCTTTTTTGTTGGTTTTTCTCCGGTACCGGGAATCGAACTCATGACCTTGCGCTTGCCAGGCAGGCGCTTTTGCCGCTGAGCTAAATCCCCAGCCCCTACAGTATATGTCTTGAATGACTGTGCATGTTGCTTAGGGTTGGTGCTCCTCAAAGTATGGTCTGACATGAGTGCTGCGTACCTGTGTCTCTTCTGGGCCCGTGGCCCGAATGAGTACAGTACGAAACTGAGAGTGCGTTCTCCAAAAACTTCTTAAAAAATTTGCCATGGTAATTTTACGTCTGTTGTATCTAATGATAATAAAAAAGTTGGGCTCATTTTGCACGTTTTGTTAAAAATAATTTTCCACTACTTTGTCATGAATGTATTTTGCAAATGTATCAGTAGGTGACAGACCAGAAATAAGAAAAATAAAGGCCTTTTCTCTCACAGACCATTTGAGAAGCACTGATTTACAATATCAAAGAGATAAATATTTACATATGTCAGTCACTGGTGTAATTAGAGCTGTTTAAAATACTAAGTGCATTGCATAACACATAGGTTTGTTTTGAGGTTCAGTGGCTTTGGGCGTGTGGCTTGATCCCAATGTAAGTGTTTCCCACAGGTGCTTGTTTATGGCCATCCTTGATGAAAGATGGCCAGGCCTCCAAACCCGTCTTAAAAGCATCGGGATAGTTTCAGTGAGGGACTGGTCTATTTTTCAATTTTATTTTTCTTAAGAATAACAAGTTTATTACAGCTAGATTAGGCAGTCTAATACCTGTGCAATTCGAATTGACCTTAGCCAGGCACTCTTTGCTCAGCGTTCAGTCTCTCTGTTGAATGAAGATAAGGCGATCCAGTGCCACCCTCCCATTAATTTCAGGCTTATTTTTTGTATTCTCTGAATTTTTTTTGTATAAGTTATAAAGCATAATGTTTGTTAGGTAATTACATTAGTCAAGATTGATAAGATTTACCCAGACACGTTACCATTGTCTCCTCCGCTATAGTTACTATTACAGATCTGTCCGTGCAAAGGCAGGAGTGGTAATGGTTGCCTTGGACCATTTTTAAAGACTGTGTTCGTTGAAAACATTTCATCCAAAATGCTTCTTGCCAGTTAAGTTCGAGCTTTGGTGCTGTCCCTCAGCCTTACTTCATGACAGTGAGGAGTTTTAGAGCTGCCCGAATGACTTCTTGTGCTCTAATTACAAAGGATTCCGTGCGTGATAGTGTGGACCGAGCACGTCTGGACCGTCCATCGCCTTTCCCGCATATGTCCTGGCCCATTGCGGCAGCTCTCAGACGTGCAAATTGTTTGTTTGTTCGTTTTTTGGGTCATGCTTGTTCTCTTTTGTTTTGCAATTTAATTGATGCAAAGTTGATGTTAAGAATTTAAAACATACAAATACACTTAGTATCTTAATTTATCGAGAATATGAAGTAGACTCAAGGAGAAATAAAGGCATAGGTAAGGTAAAATTGTATATTTATAGCTTAATAGATCGTCCAAATGTGAAATGTATGTAAAAGAGGGGAGAAGACTGATCTCCAATGCCACCAGTGTGTACATGCCAATGTGATCACAGTTGCAGTGAAGAAAAGACGTCTTAGCCCAATGCCCGGTAGGTGCCCTGTTCTCAGTGGACGATTGAGAGGACACACTCCAGTCTGTGCCCGCCCTGACTTCCTGTGTGGCCTGAACCTCCAAGAATCACCTGGCCTTGAATCCTTGTCTCAGGCCCCGTTGCCAGGGGATCCACGTTTAGGCGGGCAGGTTCAGAAGTGATAAGAAGCCACCACAGAATTTCAGAATGAGTTTTGGAGAAGTAACCCGTACATTATTATTAACTAGCTCCTTGTACTACTAGGGGTGGTTGTTCTTTGTCTTTCCTACACTGAATTAGATGCTCCTGGATGTTTTCTTTTAAAGGAAAGAATCCAAGGAGTCTTATTCATCCAGGGATGGTTAGTTGGTTTATAAGATCAGCCTCTGTTCTGATTCTCTTCTTAGTGGTTTTGGTAAATTCTTCCTTTTCACCTTTTTGTCCTGTGACTAGTTCCACCTCCGAGGCTCACCCTCCTGGTTGGGACATAGAGCAGATTCGTTTTATTACTGGATTCTCTAATTGGTTCTAGAATGGAACTTCAAGAGTCATTTTATCGCATTGGAAAGAACTACTGTTTTAATGAGGTTATTCTGAAAATCTTTTGCTAAAAATGAGTCAAACGTACTGATGATATTAGAATTATGTTTAATTAGAATGTTAAACTTAATTCATATTTATCTTGTACACACTGATTTTGTTAGGAGCCTTTAACACATATTACCTGTAGGAAATGACAATCTTATATTTAACCTCATTTTCAGAAAGACAAATGAAATCTCTAGGGCGTATTCACTGTTGATGTAATTTGAATTACAAAGCTGAGATTCATGATTAAAGTCTTACATTAAGGACTGAGAATACTTGCTGAGATTTCATTTTGAATTAAGGCTGAATTTGAGTACCAGGCCCTCTTTTCCCTTGTGTTTACGGGAGCAGGATTTCTTTTGGTTTTTATTTTATGCGCGAGCCAAGATTAACCCCTTTGAAGAGGAGATGGGAAGATAGTGAGTAATACTTCTCTGAAAAGAAAATGATCTAGGCCATCCAGAATGGTGCTTTTTGTTTGCTTTGTCTGACATGGAGTCTCTTTATGTCGCCTAGGCTGGCTCCAAACTGGCTCAGGCAATCTTCCTGCATCAGCTTCTTGTGTAGCTGGCACGACGGGTGTGTGTTGTGGTTCCCAGCAAGAATGGTGCCCTTTTGGGAAGTTTTCTTGCTGAGGAAGTGAGAAGGAAGTACACAGTGCTTTGCACTTTCTGCTCCACACTTTAACGATGGACACTGAGAACATCTGACTCAGTGTTTTCCATTCTTATTATAAATTATGCAGGTAGAAGGCTGAATTAAAACACCACAACGGGAAAAGTCAAATTCTCAGGGTGTCTGCATTACTTTACATAAAGAGATTAACATTGATTCCATCAAATTTTTACCAGTAAAAATAAACACTTAAAATATTTAAGTGGATCAGTTTTCCTGTGGTTTGAGGTCCGACCTTGTAAAGCCTTCCAAATTTAATGGGGCATCTTTCTAGACAGAAAACTTTTGGTGGCAGTTCACCTTAAAGAAGATTTCTTTGGTGGCCGCTTTTGATCTTTGAAGCTTCATTGCTCAGCATTATTACTTTTGCACATAAGATGACAGTTCCTTTCTCTGCTAGACTTTTGCCTGTGCTCGAGGCGATGTATTTATAATCCTAGCAGCGGTTACTCTGAGGTGATGAACCGATTTCATGGAAATAATTGCAAGACACAGGTTTTTGTTCGTTAGAGGATAGTGTTGACATCCCTAAGTTCGGAGTGGACTCACTCTTCTGGAAGGTTCCATTCTCCGTGCGGGGTAGTTATGCAGTAAGTGAGCCCCAGTTCGTCCCCAGAGAGGTTAGGGTCCCGGGAGGCAGGGAGGCAGGACACCACGGGGGGAAGTAATTGAGGAGCCGGAGAACAGGACGTGCTGCTGGGCGTGGAGGACGAAGGCAGGCGGGGGCCTCCGCCGGCGGGTGGGGAGGGTCCCTCAGAGCAGTGGGATCCGAGAGCAGCCTCAGAAGAGCTCCGGGGAGGGGGCGCAGGGGCCGCGGTGGCCGTGCGGACGTACTTGGAGGTGCCCGTAGGTCTGTCGTGTGCGGGGCGCTGACACTGGATGAGGCGAGGCTGGGTGCGGAGCCTGGGGCGTGTTGTGGAGTGCAGGCCGCCTAGCCCCTCTCCGAGCTCTCCCCGCCCTCCCCGCCCGGGTGGGGGGTTTGAGCGGCCAGGCAGTGCCCCCGGGGGAGAGGCGGGGAAAGGAGGGACGGAAGGGCCGCCCACATGCCACTCGGCCAGAAGAGAGGGAGAGGGCGACAGCCCGTTACTCCCGCCTCCTGCACTCAGCCCCTTCAGCCTGCCTTCCGCTCAGCAGCCAGAGGGTCCTGTTCAGCGCCACTCTTCCGCACCCAGCTTTCCTGGTCTCCCGTCCATCACAGCAGTGTCCACCTTAGCATGCACACGCTCTGACCCCTGCTCACCTCTTGGACCCATGTCATTCTTTCAGTCTCATTTGTTCATGCTGCTTCAACCACGTTGGTTTCATGCTGGTCCTCAAATGTGCCAGACGTGTACTCACCTCAGGACCTTTGCACTTGCCATTCATGTGCTGGGAATGCTCTCTGCATGGCCCTTGAGCTTCATCCAAATGGCACCTTTGCAGGGAGACCTTCCTGAGTCACTATTTAAAATTCTTCAGCCTCCCCTCCAGTACTTCTTACCTCGCCTCTCCTTTGTTTTTCTTCTCAGCACTTATCACTAACCTATGATGTACATTTGTCCTTTGGTGTCTGTAAAGGATTGGATCCTGGACATTCACCTCAGGTACCAAAGAAGGATGCTTAGATCCCTTGTATAAAATGTCATCACACTTACGCATAACCTATGCACATTGTCGTGTATACTTTCAGTCCTCTTTAGATTACTGATCATACATCATACAATGTAAATGCTGTGTAAATAGTTGTTACACTACATTCTGTAGGAAGTAATGATGAGAAAAAAGTAAGATTTTATTTTATTTTTCACTTTGGGACAAGGTCTTGCTAAGCTGCTAACTTTCCCGAGCTGAGTTTCAACTTGTGATCCTCCCGTCTCAGCCTCCCAGGGTGCTGGGATCAGAGGTGTGCAGTACCACCCTCAGGTCTGACTGCATTTTACAAATCTCTTTTCTTCATTGTCTCCCCACAGAAAGTGAGTTCCCCAAAGGCTAGGATGTTTTCTGTCTGTCGCATTCCCTGCTGAGTTTATTCCACTGAACAAATATTTAATGAGTGAGTTATTCAATGAGAGGAGGAAAGAGATCATGTCTATGGAATGTGACAACTGACAAAGGAATAGGAGGGAAGGGATTATCAAAGATGGCTTCAGGGTTTC